TTGGTGTTTTAAAAGTTAACTTTTCTGTGTATGATAACATGAATTAAGTGAAATTGTATGTTTGCACTAATATTTTGTTGTATGGATGATGATTAAGTATTGTATGACATGTTTGAATGTTTGACAGTGTGTAATTGTAATGTTTCTGATGTTATAATTGTGTATAGTGAAGTGATATAATGGTTTAAAATTGAATTCAAGTGGTTGGAGTGAAGGATGGTCAAATTCTTGAGTTTTAAGTCTAATTATAGGGGTTTGGATGGGTGAGTTTGAGAAAGAGAGACTGAGGTAAGAAAGTATTTGTCTAGGTGTTATCATGAGATAATTTAAGTCTTGTTAGAGGTGTTATTTGAGTAAAATCTGTTATGAAACAAGATTATAGTTCATTTGTGAGTTTTTGTAGTGTTTTTGATGTAAAAGTGTGATTTTTAGTAGGGAAATTGTGAGGCAAGGTTTGTAAACTGGTTTGGGACATTGGGGGTATGTTATTAGCTATATTATGACTTGTCTAAGCATTGAAAAGGGAAAAGTATAGTGTAAAACTATTAGGGATATTCTAGAGTGAGTTATTAGGTGTTTTTAGTATAATTAGAGGTTTTGAAGGGTGAAAACTTGAAACAAAAGGACTGTGAGCCATGTTGGATTGTGTTATCTAGTGTAATTAGACTTGGTTATGCAGTTAGTAAACTTATATAGGGCTTAGAAAGTGAAAAATTGAGTTTGGGTAGCTTATCGTACTGAATTTAAGTTTCATAGGATCAATTTGAGTTATAACAGTGTTTTCAGAGTTTTGTCAAGGTCTAGAGCGTCCTAGGGACCTTTAGAGGTTCTGGGGTAAGTGGGAAAAACAATCCAAAAAGATTTTATTTCTACCGATAGCGCCTGAGCGTCCAAACAAGGCGTTGAGCGCCCCATTCCAGGGGCGAGGGCACTAAGCGCCAACTTCTTGGCACTGAGCGCTAGAAAACAGAAGCTAGGGCACTGAGCGCCACTGCACCAGTTTTTTTTTTTAGGTTTTGAAAATATCAAATTCAGGGTTTCAGGTATCAATTTTGGACATTCTTTAGGTTGTTTTGGAGGTTTTGGACCCTTCCAAAGCTATTAGGGAGGGTTTCAAAATTGTTTTCCTTGCCTAGTGTGAGTATCAAGTTGCTATGAAGAAAATTGTGTTATTGTGTGATTTCTGATGACTTGTAAGGGTGTTTCTTTTTCTTTAATGTATGATCAGTAGTCTCATGTATTGACATACTATGTGAATGTGAAGTGATCTTAATGGTTTCAAAGGTATGGAAGAGAGTTCCAAGGAGGAACTTCTCAGTGGTGGTTTCATGTATTGTACGTATGAATATAGGAAGCTTTGGAGTTCATCCTGACATTCTAATGGTCATCCATTCTCAAGTAGAGAGGGGTGAGACATGTCGTGAGAATAGTAGGAGCTTTATCTTGGTCTAAGGCAAGTGATAACGGACTAATCTTGCGCGGTAGCTTTGGGTGAGCCAACTGTTTCACCACAACAAGTGCACGAACTGTCATAACTCGATATTCATACTAATCTGGATAGTCAAGTCAAAAGTATTGTCATGCATCAAGTGGTTGGTTATTTGGTGTGATATGTTTGTTTTGTGTATAATGTTTACACTTTCATATATTTCTATATCATTAATTGTTTTTACTCTAGCTTACCCTTTTTGCTTGTGATTGTGTTTGTATGTTTCTCTTGTTTCCTCTTATTGTTATGATCATCTTGTGGGTGTGAGCAGAAGAAAATAAGGTCTTTTTGGAGAAGTCGTAGGATGAAGATGCTAAGGATGCATAGTTTGATTTAGATTAGCTTTTGTAGATAGTTTTGTTTAATTTCCATTATGTATAAAAAATTTCAAATTTATGATTATTTTAGATGACTGTAAATCGTGTTTTATAGTCTTTTCTCTAACTAATCTTAATTTTTTCTAAAAGAGTATTTGATTACTGTTATAACCAGATTGAGAAGAAACAAATGTACAATGTAATTGTGGAAGTGACCAAAAACTTAATATATAATAATAATAATAATAATAATAATAATAATAATAATAATAATAATAATGTTATATAATAATAAATAACAGTAGAATAATTCATATATAAATATAAATAATAATAAATGATAATAGATTATAAAAATACAAATAAAAATAAATTATATAAATATAAATAATAAAAACATAATACTAAATAATATAGATAAAAGATAAATTAATAATAAACAATATAAATAATAAATAAAGTTCTAATAAAGTAAATGTTTATTAATTAGATAAAACAAGATAATTTAAGTTGAAATCATCAAATCATATATTCACATTTTTTTTTCATGGTTTATCCTTGCAGTTTTATATTGTCTACTCTACACATTTTTTTAGCATCATCTAACATTTATATAGAGCTTACCCTTTATATTTTTTTTTTGTCTATTCTTTGTAATTTTATAAGTTACTTTACATATTTTTTTAAGATGTCTAACTTTTGTATTTTTTACAGAATCTGTTTTTTGCCCTTTTATACACGGTCTATGTAGCTTTATATAATTTATTCTTTTAAGTTTTTTTTTTCATATTTAATCTTTATATTTTTTACAAGATCTATTCAATATTTTCTGTATAGTGCATCATTTCTATTATTAGAAGATCTATTTCATCATTTCTATTATTAGAAGATCTACTCTTTATATTTTTCTCCATTGTCTAACTGATATTTAATTTAAAATTGAATTCTTAATTTTGATTATCTCAATCATAATGTATTGTTTGAATAATTATATACAATTTATTTTATTTTATTTTATTTTATATGATTATATATATATATATATATATATTTAAATACATTCTCATTATAAAAAACAATTAAAATATTATTGTTCAATTTTATCAAATTAAATACCTATATTAAACTGTAATTATACTTCTATAAAATCAAATTAATATAAGAAATATGTTATAATTTTTAAAATTCCGGTAGGTTGCACTAATATAAATATGGGTTAAATATGTTTTTAGTCCCTAAACTATTGACCGTTTCTGGTTTTCGTCCCTTTTCCAAAGTAAGGTACAATTTAGTCCTCAATCTTTAAAAAACGTTCGTTTTAGTCGAAAAAACGAACGTTTTGAGGACTAAAACGAGGACTAAAAACAAAATTTTGAGGACTAAAACGAACGTTTTTCTAAAGAATGAGGACCAAATTGTACCTTACTTTGGAAGAGGGACGAAAACCAGAAACGGCCAATAGTTTAGGGACTAAAAACATATTTAACCCTATAAATATACTAATACAAGTAAAATATTAGTTGGGTTCTAATTTTCGTTTTAATTATTTAATTTGTTTTTTTTTTATTTTTTTTTTCAATTGAATCTTAATTTTTGTTAAAATAATTTAATTAGATAATTTTTATTAAATTGATATTAATCGTAATATTTTCAATTTTTTATTTTTGATTTTCTAAGATTTATGTCATAATTGTGTTACACAATACCACATGATACTATCGGTATCATATATTTATCTCAATATCATGTGATAATGTTTTGTATTTAATTAAGCATATATTTTAAATTTTAATGTAATTGAATTTTATTATTTTTTAAATAGAAAAATGTTGTAATTATATAAAATGAAACTAAATTAATAATTAAGTCTCATTACAATTTATATATATCTAATAAAATAATTTTTTAAAATTTATACATTGAATTACTTCGTCTAAATATTTAAATTTATTTTATTTTTAATATAAATTTTTAAAAAGTACTTGTTTTAAAATATTAAAAATCAATTAAAAATATAAATTTAAAATGATTTTGTAATTTTTAAATTTTAATATATCATTGAATTCGTGTATACCAAAATCATTTTATTAAAACTACCATTTTTGTGTACCAAAAATATATTATTTTATAACAACAATCTTGTGAACTACAAATTATAATAACCATAGATATATTTTAGGAGTTACTTTCAAAGATAAGGCTTTTTATTTCTTTCAATCAATTATTTTCATCTTTCTTTCTAAATTAGCTTTTAATATTTCATTAAAAAAATACAAAAAGGTAATGTTTCCGTGAAGATTTTTGTGGGACCGAGACACGTGACTTTACCGCTCCTGGATGACTTTGTCGCTCGCTCTCCTGCAGTATAGACCGCAAGCTTGTCCTTTGATGGATTCCTCGCGCTTCTTCGATTTGCACCGTTCGTTCTCCTTCACCAGTAAAAATGAGGGAGGTACCTGCAAAGGCACTCTGACACTCAAGTTAGGCGTCTGTTGAAGGAGTTGTTACTCACAAATGAATATTATGGTAATTGAGTATTATGAACTCAGTAGAGTGTGAGTAGAATGTGAATGGAACGTTTTGACCCAGCTCTGACGAGCGGTGTCCCGGTTTGTTCTGGTTGACGAGCGCTGTTGTTGACGAGCGCTGTTGTTGACGAGCGTTGCTACACTAGATATGACCATTTCAATTCGAAATACAATTTTGCTTCAAAGTACAAGTGCATAGGCCACCTAATCAAAAGAGAATTTACCACTCAATGAGAAACGTTCTCAACTGCTCAGCCTTTCATGGCTGCGAGTGTTCAATAATTGGGTCATTCGACCTCCCAAGTGTTCATCCATTCGACCTTACAAGGCAGAAGACAAGATCAAGCACATGTCTCATTTGGTCAATCTGGAGTCAACCCTTCGGTCAGAAAATCCAAAAACATTCAAAAGTAAAAAATCTTATATATCAACAATTTGGTTATCATAAATGTAATTGTATGTTAAAAATATTTATTTATCATGTTATTTAATTATAATATAATTTACATATTTAAAAAAGTCTATTTACTATAATTGTTACTTCTAAAGTAAACATTTGTTTGTATCTTGTAAAATACTATTTATGTTAAAATCCATATTTGTTATGATTTTTAATTTGCCAGAACGTATTTTTGATAATTATGTTATTAATAGTTGATTTTTCTCTCAAAAACGGAAGAATGGGGTCAACACCAATTATCTCCAAAATATTGCACAGGAAAATCGAATCAAAATTGTTCAGAAAGTAACCTATTATCTTTCTTCACTCATTCACACAACTCAAGCAATGAGTCGCAAGCGAGACAGGCACTATTTTTCCCGCCACGACGCGGCCTCCAAGCGCCGCCGCCCCTTGCCAGAGCCCGTGGAGGAGGAGAGACCGACGACGAGGCCTGCGTTGCCTTCCGCGGTGGTCGTGATGGGTCTTCCTCAAGACTGCTCCGTCCTCGATCTCAAGTCTCGCTTCGAGATCTACGGCGCCATCTCCCGCATCCGCATCGACCGCGACGCCGTTGGCTACATTACTTACCGGTCAAAGGAATCTGCCGACGCCGCCATCGCCGCCGGTGTTGACCCCTCCTTTGGAATCACTGTTAGCTCCAAAAAGGTGCTTCCTATTACCCTTTTCTCACTTAGGGTTTTGAAGTTCCCGTTTTTTTATTATGATTCGCGAATACTTAGGGTTTTATCTGAAGTGCTTACTACTACAAAACTGAACGCACTTGATTTTCAGCTTAGTTGTTTGTAACTGGATAAATAAAATGGGAGCTTTGAAATTAAAAAGGAGAGAATGAGAAGGGCTGAAATTGAACAAATTTGACAAATTTCCTACCCAATTGTTTAGAATTTTAGTAAAAGTTTGCACCTTTAAGTTTGTTTTTGGATCAATTTGTTTTAGTTAAAATTGATTTGTTAGTGAAGTGGGTTTACCCTTTCATCCAAGACAAGCTATTTGAAGCTGCCATAGTTCATAATCATAATCAATTATGAACCTGAAATCATATTTAGAATTTCTCAACAATACAGTTTATGTGTGGATCAAAGATGAAAACATGTTTTTTGAGAACTACAATATACATTCCCAAGTTCTTAGGCACAATGGAGAAGGAATAAATTGTTGCTTTAACATTGAAAGAAATTATTATGTTATGAGGAACTAACATGTGGTCAATTCCTATAATTGTTTTAGTACATAGAATCTGCTTGATGAATTTTTCTAGAAGCACTTCTAGGAGAAAATTATAAAAAGAATAAGTGAATTTTATATTATAAAGATCCCATTTAAATTTTTCCTTTTTTCTAAAACACTTACGGAAAAGCTCATTCAAATATATCCTAATGGGTAGATAGATAGAAGTGAATAGATTCATAAAGGGAAATTTGAAAGAGATTGTTTTGTTTAACAGGTTCAGGTGTTGTGGGCAACAGACCCTCTAGCCATGTGGAGGGAAGGAGTTGGTAATAGCAAGGATAAAGGGCATATGTCAAAACTTGTTCGTGCTGAGGCACCTTTGAGCAAGCGTGGAAGAGGTAATAGACTTGCTTCAGCTATAGGGAACCCCAAACATGGTGAAAATAGCTCAGGTAGCCCAGTTTTAGAAGTGCCTTTCAAGGGCCGAGAAATTGTTGCCTATGATGATATCCTCTAACTATCAAAATATGTACTTTTAGAGCCTTATCTTATTCTGTATCAATGATTTGAGTATGGCATTTAGATCCTTCTTTTTTTTTTTGTTAAGTGTGTTCTCAGTTGTCGAGCTTCTAGGAAGTAACTGGTGGAATTGATTGTGATGTTTAAAAAACACATGGTAAATGTGATGTAAATAGTTGGTTTTACATTGTCATGTCTTATCCATACAGTTGTTTATATTTGAAAGTGTAATATTGTTCATTTCATAAAACCTTTTTTATTTTAATAAACTTTTATAGTGTGTTTGGATAAGACATTTTAAGAGGATAGTTATATTTTTGGAGAATTTGTAATATGTCGATGTCGACTAGGTAAGGAATTTTGAGAGAAATTGAAATTTCAAAATTCCATTAGACTTTTTAGATTATTTAAAATTAAAGAGTTTCAAATTCTACTTGAAAAAAAATAAGAATTTAAAATTCTTCATATTCCTAAATTCATATTTTAGTTTTTGTGGTTTGGATCGACTTGGGTCCATGTAGATTATGCTTGACTTGATGTAGGATTGATTTAACTTAGTTTGCTATAGTCTTAATTTGATTGGCCAAACTTGACTCAATTTGTCTTGGTTCCATTGAGTCAAATTTGATTTGGACTAATTGAACTTGACTTGATATAGGTCTAGTCCAATTCAACTTGACTTGAGCCGAATTAGATTGATTAGCTTGGACTGAATCACCTTGGCCGGTCTGATTTGACTTAGATTTGGATTGTCTTAACTCGACTTTGGCTTGGAACCAACTTAATTAGGCTTAACTTGTCAAAGTCTACTCAACTTGACTCGATGAACTTCATTGGGCTAAGTTAGACCTAGTAATGATTAAACTAAGTCAAACCTAGTCTAAATTGACTAAACGTAAGTAGGCTTGGACTCAGGTGAACATGAATCGACCTTAACTCTATTGAATGTGAGCTTGTCTAGACATGGTTCAACTTGGGCCAGACTGTTCAATTTGACTTTGATATTGGTAAATTCAGCTGAACCTATGTCTAGGCCTTGTTTAGACTTGGGCCAATTTGATTTGATTTGAGTTTGAATTAACTTGGCTCGACTTACACCTGAGTCAATTCAGCCTGACTTCGATTCGAATAAACTTAATCAAGGCTCGTGCCTATTTGACTCAAGTTAGATCCAAATCGATTTAATTGGATTTGGTTTGACTTTAAAGAGTTTACTTGGCTCAAACTTACATGAACCGAATCCTGTATTTTCTTGTTTGGATTTGGTGTAATTTAACATTTCATAATTTGAAATAATTATATTTATGTTAAAAAAAATTAGAAATCTATAAGAATTTTTGACAAAAAATAACATCAATCAAAATAAACTAAAACTATGAATATTAATATTTTTTATTATTAATAACTATTTGATATTTATTTATTTATAATTTAGTGGTGGTTGAAATATTTTATTCAAATAAGAAATATAAATAAATTTTATTACATTTGAAAAACTAAAATGAATAAACTTTTATGGAAATAATCACCTATTTTACCAAGTATTAATATAAATAATAAGTGACATTTAAATGTATTAAAAACTATATAAAATTTAAGTTTAAAAAAAATGAGTCAATTCATATATAATTTAACTTAGAAGTTAAGTGAACGAAGATAACTATACTTCTCCCTTTGTTTTTTATGTGAGAGTTTTGGATGTGTTTTATGAAACTAAAACCTAACATGTTTTGTACAAAATAAAAATTGTTTAAGACGTTATTAGTTTTTGGAGTTTTTGTTTTCTTCCATAACAACATTATTATTATTATTATTATTATTATTATTATTATTTGTTTTTTAGTTCAATATTTGAATGCTTTTTTAAAATGTTTTTTTAAATGTTCATTAAAAATAAATGTAGGATGAGAAGCAATAACGTGTAATGAAAATATTTAAGAAAATCTTTTATTACTATCTTCAACAGTTAATATATTTAAATTATTAGCAGAATTAATTTCAAGCCAAATAAATGGCCATTTTGATTACCTTTTAAAAATATAAAAGAATAACATAAATTTAATTCCAAAAGTAAAGAATCAAATTAATATTAATAATTTAGTCTAAATTTTACTGTTTCGTAGAAAAGCATTTAAAAATAGAAAAGAAAATAAAACAAGATGAGATATAAATTAAAAGCCAGCCAGCTGAGATGTATAAAATATAAAATACAAAAGAAAAAATTAATTTAAAGTAAAAGAAGAAAGTAAATATATAAATACTATAAGAGGAAAGATTATAAAAAAGAAAGGCGTGTGAAATGGTGATTGGTGGGGGAATAGTGATATTGTGAAGGCAGTGGTGATGGAAGAATCTGAAAAAAGAGAGAAAAAAGAAGAAAAAGGAGAACAAGTTGTGTGGAGTTGGGGTGCTGGAACGGAGGGTCAGTTAGGAACAAAGATTGTTAAGGATGAGCTCTTCCCTCAACTCCTTCACCAACCCTCTCTCTCTTCCATCTCTTCCCTTGCATGTGGCGGCGCTCATGTCATAGCCTTGACCTTTGGTATGCTATAACACCCTTCTTCCTCCCTCTTTTTCTCTTCCAATTTTTTTTTTGATGATGATGATGATGATAATCTGTAGCTGGGAAGGTACTTTCATGGGGTAGGGGCAATTCGGGGCAATTGGGCCATGGGGAGGTTGTGAGTAACGCTTTGTTTCCCAAGGCTGTAACGTCATTGGATGGCTACTTCATAACCAATGTCGCTGCTGGGTGGAGCCACTCGGGTTTTGTTTCAGGTTTGCACTCTTCTGGCTATGTCTTCACTGATATAATATATTTTTTAATTTTGTAGTGAAAAACTAATATAATTAAGAGAAAGTGTCTAGAAATAGTTCTAATTATGTTTTACAATTTTTTATTAACTTATTTTAAGTATTTTTGAGTCATATAATTCTGCAGATTTATTAGAATAAAAAATGTTATTTTTATAAATTATTTTTTTATGGAAAGTAAAATCGCACGAGTTTACGAATCGAGCAATTTTGATTACCTTGATGTTGAGGTTATCTGGTTTTCGGTTAAAAGTGTATTTTTTTCCAACGATTTGTTCTTCTTGGTTGGTTTTCAGATTCAGGGTGTGTCTTCACTTGTGGGGATGGGACGTTTGGTCAACTGGGACATGGAGATTATGCCTCACACTGTTCTCCTGTGAAATTGACATGTTTTGGTGATCAGCGTGTAGCGCAGGTTGCATGTGGAATGCGCCACTCCCTAGTGTTGTTGAAAGGTATTGGATTGGTTTTAGTTGGTGCCTACAATGTGTTTGTTATGTTGCTTTTTTATTTAGCAAAGGGCGTTGTGATGCAGATTGTGTAGGAAATCAAGTTTATGGATTTGGCTTTGGGAAGCGTGGTCAGCTGGGTGTCAGCAACGATAAGGTCAAATCTGTTAGTGTTCCTAGAACTGTTACTGGCTTTGAAGGTGTTGAAATCATTGGAATTGCTGCAAATGGAGATCATAGTGCTGCAGTATCTGGTAACACCACTTTCCCCTTCATCATATCTGTGGCACTAAATTGTTCTCTAAAATGATTCTAGTATCTTTAGTTGATGGGCACGTTTATACTTGGGGAAGAGGCTTCAAGGGCTTTGAAGATGCTCACGTTCCTCATTGCTTAAACTCTTCTTTGAATTTTATCAAAGTTGCTCTGGGATGGAACCATGCTTTAGCAGTGACTGGTATTTATTCACACTAAATACCCAACAAATTTAGTTTAATGATTTGCATATTTCTATCAATTCCCTATTTAATAAGTTCATTTTGTTGTCAATTTTTTTTTCTTAGGTGAGGGAGAGGTTTATATGCTAGGTGGAAACCACCTTGGAGTGCTTAGTGATCTTCAGAACATAAGCCCCCCAGCCAAGTATATACCTGGTAATGCATTTGAGTTAACGTTGAACAATAAAGACATCATAATCTATGTACTTTCTGGTTGCATACATCTCTGATATTTAGAACGTAACTTATTACTAGATTTAAACTATCGATTAGCTGTCGTAATCATCATGAACCTGCATAAATTCATAGATAATTTATTTGGGTGAGAAAGATGCGAATTATTGTGCAATGGAGAATGCTTACATCGCGTTGCTTTACTCTTATATTTATATTATGCCTTGTCATTGCGTAATATTTAGTAGATTTAAGAGAAGTCAATTTGGAGAAAGTCCCTGGCCTTGATGGGATGAAGATTACTGATATTGCTACCGGAGCCGAGCATTCTGTCATTGTCACAGGCAAGATATACTCTTTTTGTTCTTGAGGAGTTTTGAATCACATAAAAATTCTGACTTATTTCCTCCTTCCTATTTTCAGATAATGGAGAAATAAAGACATGGGGTTGGGGTGAGCACGGCCAACTTGGTTTAGGAGATACTTGCGATCAAATCAGTCCTGTTACAGTAAATCTAGGTTATGATCGGAATGAAGCTGAATCAATTAAAGTTTTCTGTGGAAGTGGGTTCACATTTGCTGTAACTATGCCCTAAATTCTCCTCAATTAAAGTTTACATTTACAATCGCTTTGGCCTTGTTCTGAACTTCCGATGAGAGTGATAGAAATGGTACATTCCAAGAAAGTCTTCTGCTTAAATTATTGAGAACCTTGAAGGAAAGTGACTATGGGTCCTCTTCTCAATCACACAAAAAAATAGATGATATATGTTCAAGTTTTTCCAATTTATGGACTTTGCTAAAACTCATTTTTAGTCCATTTAATGTCTGTCATTCTCCCAACAGAAAGTGAAAGGAGTTTCTTATTATATATTCGAATTGACTGGGACTTTGGAATGTCAAATATGGTTTCCATCGTCACTAATTGAAGAAGCATAGATAAAGAAAAGAAAAATATCTCCCAGATCTCGATCTCAAAGCATTAACTTCCAGAAATGGAAAATATGCATTAAACCATTTCTCGTTTTTTACAATTGATCAGAGAAAGTATGCCAAGAACAACATTCAAAACAGCAAAGATGGATTATGTAACCTTATTACCACCATTTACTCGTACTGATACGACGAGGCACCACTCCCGCAATCATATGAACATGTTAAGAATGATTGAATGGGTTTAATTGTTATCAGTCAAGATATCTACATCTAAAAGTAGGTAGTAGATGGACTAAGTAAAAGAATCAATGAACTTCTCACCGAATATTTTGTACAAAAGTGAAAAAATTGGTAACTAACCTAAGCATGTCATCCTCCTGTGTTCCAAAGATATTATCTTATGCTAACTTTCTCTTCCATCAATCACTAACTATAAGAAGATTATTCTCATAGCCACCGTTGGTTACAATAGGACGCAAGGGATCAATTTTCCATTCTCCATCTACAATGAACTTCATCTGCAACAAACAAAGAAACAAGTAATTAAAATATGCCTGCTATGTGTATCTTATAGGGCACAACATCAATAGGTTATGTCATTAGCAGATAATATACAACTAACCTCGTATCTTCCAGGATACAGCTGCAAGGTCACAGAAAATATACCACTGCTTAACCTCTCCATCTTTCTCTGCAATTTAATCACTATCTATTAAATATTTAATGCATTTAAGTCAATTGCGCTCAATAAAGTAATCTGAAAAATATAGTTATCCTTAAGCATGCATTAGATCATTCCGAAACAAAATTGATTTTGCAAAATACATTGACAATAAGGAAAGCAATTTGATTTTTAATTTTATCAATCAACCACGGACAATTGACCTAGGAAAGCAAATAGTGATTTATGAATCCATAACCCATGTTGAATGCGTCAATCCTTAAACAAGGTCAGCTGTGACCCACAAGACAAGCATAAAATGGAATGGAACCGATTTTGAGAATGTGAGAATCATGATAGGCTTCTCGAGAGAGGTTGCATTATGAATATCTTTAATACACACCAGTGATTGAGTTATTGGTGAAGCATTTTTATGATATAAAACACAATATTTTTTATTATTATGTTTTATCGTTATATTTTTTAAACACTTAAACACGTTTTTTTAATTAAAAAAAAACTTTTTTTCAGAAAAATGTACAAGCATGAAGGCTGTAATATCTACAAATAAAGTTCTTGGGAAGAGATTAGACCTTGTTGGACCAACCATCAAATGATCCTGTTAAAAATACTTCTGAAGCATTATTTGGCCAAACTACACAAGTAGTCGTCAGCATTTGCAAAGCCTTCTGAGCCTTACTAATCTTCATCTGCTTTTCTTCGACTACCTTATGTGCATCCCTGGGAGAAAAGGATGCAATATTGTCAAGATGTTGTTTATCTATCTATACATCACGCATTAATTGAATGGTGTCAGGGGATACATTATTGCCAATGACATCTTTCCTTCTAAAACTGCCAATTTAGCCTGTATAGAACGCAATTTGTCCTTAGCATTCATGATCTCATTTTCCTGAAATTCCCACGCATCGGAAAGCTTTGCCAGATCATCAGAAGAGCTCTTATGAACCTATTGAAGAAAATGCAGCATGCAGATCAGGACTAATTTAGTACCCCAAGGAGAGGCCTTCATAATAATGTCTGACAGTAAATTGAGAGCAGTGTCAGAAAGTTTAAGACATTGGAAAGTTATTACGAGATTTCATTGAGGTAGTATATACGTAGTACTAGCTACCACATATTTCGTTTTACTTACTGCAAAGAAAGTAGAGGAACTCCTTGCTAACAGCAGTCAAAGCACACAGCCACACACCATATATATCTGAGTCCGTACTAAGAGCAGAGACAGAGAAATGTCCAAAAAGAAATAAAAGGTTTCGGATAAGAGGAAAGCGAGAATTAAATTTCTTTAATAAAATATATTGGATAGATTTAACGCAAAATTTCAGTAACATTCAAATTCTTTGTTGAGTACTAACTCCCTTGGCTTGTGTGATTTTCCCAACCGAAAACAAGTTGCACAGAAAAATCCCCCTCTGGCATCTAAAGTAAGTGGCAGCAAATTTTATTCTTATCTATTGTCATAGAGATTAGCCCGTCGCAACTTATCGCAAAGCGAAAAAACATGCTATGAGCTAAGCGAACTTCACTCGTGCTTAAAAAACATAGAGAACTGCAGCAAAGATCCAGTATTGGATATAGTTAAACTCACCATCTGCTCGGTAATTTTATCTGAGCTAGACCTCAACGAGTGAAGTGTAGAAGATAGCTCGGATTCCAGATGCTGGATACGGGATTTAATGTCACTGTGACTTGCATTTACATCAAGAGAATATAATCCTGTTTCATTGTTTGTAAGTTGAGACGAAAACTCCATTCTCTTGAGGATATCATGTTGTCCAGAAGTATCACTCACGCCTCCTTTCTGAGTTTCACTGGGAATAATTTCAGCATCTGTTATGACACAATTACAAAGATATCAGTTGATCCCCACTACAATAGTAAGACATGATCTGAAAACGTAAAGATACCTTCAAAATCTGCATCTGGATAACCATTTCTCTGAACAATCCAACTCCTCCACATCTCTGGCTTAAGGGTGCTTTCTGAATTTTCCATACTTAATTGTGACCCATGCTGATCAGGTTTGATCTGAGAACCACTGGGATGACTGCTTGTGGGGCTAAATGAGGGTGCTCTGCCACTATTTTGAAGACCAGTAGCTATCTATACAACAGAGGAGATAAAAAAAGAAATATTTTAAAATTTCAACATAGTGAAGGGCATAAAAACTGTAAAATTTCAAAAACCGATTCTCTCAGCTTCAGGGTGCAACAGCTCATTCACATTTTCATTGAACTGTAAAACTATACATTAATTAGCTTTATCTGATAGGTAGAAATATATAATGTGAGAAACATTGGAAATGTGAATGTTAAATAGAAATTTGCATTACTCAAATGCTCTGGAACTTCGAAATATGTAATATTTCCTTTCTTCAATACTAGCATAGGATGTAAGTAGTGCCAGAAAAATTAACTAACAGCATTTGAAGTGGGATAAAAATTACTTACTGCATCCACAGCCGTTCTATGATCCCATTCATCTTTGTCTTCATTATTTTCAGAAGAAATACTATCGACACCAAGTCCAAAAGATCTACTTCTTTGTTTCTCCAATCGATTCAATATACCCGCAATGCCAGATTCATTGTCAGCTATAACTTCTCTGTATACCAGAAAGTAACACTCAGGACCCCGCTTGTCACTTGAAGTTATATCAGATTCATCTATTTGACAACAGGAAGCAGAAAAGAAAAAGTGGATAATTATAAATTAGCTCATTCTAGCTAAATTAAGCAACAATAGCCAAGCCTTTTCCTACTAGGTGTGGCCAGCCACACTGATTAAACCACACCATAATGTTCTATCCCAACTCATATCCACTGATAAATCAATGTCCTCTAAATCTCTCATTCGTTTTTCTGTAGCTTTATTGGGTCTACTCTACCTCTAGCAATTGGGCTAACCTTTGTTTGATTTACTCTCCTCAAGTGGCAATGGGATTTCAACGTATTTTCTCCACAAAATGCTTAAACACCTAAGACAAAGCCCTTACCTTCTTTCCCATAATAGGTGCCACTGCCACCACAACTTTCTCTCGCATCTTAATCCTATCTTGTCTAGTACGTTCTCTAATCCAACGCAACATTCTAGTTTTCTGTATTTATTTCATTCTCTTGTTGGTTTTGTACGACCTAACATTCAATTCCAAAGTCTTGTAACTATGCAGTATATTTACCCTAAAGCTTCACCTATATTTTTCTGTCAAGAACAACACCCTTGTCACTACTCCATTTCATCCAACCTACAAGAATCTTGGTGGCAAATTCAAGCCTCCAAGGCCATATGCGGCCTTCAAACCTTCCCCATACACTTCAAGCCAGGTACATACAGAAAAAAAATTCCAAAACATACACACGCGGGAAAATGTGAAACAGGTTATCAAGAAAAGCAAGAGACAAAAATCTCACACTGAATCATCTGTTTGGGATGTTTGGGAAGAAGAGGAAGGTGAAGAAACCCCAGAAACCCGAGTGGCATAACCGTCAATTCCATAGCTACAATTATCTTCAAGACCGCCTATTCCACTGGACCCGCCATTCAATTCCCACCCAAACGCAAGCCACCCTCCCTCGTTGACAATAGCCTTAACCAAATCCACCCTTCCTGCAGCAACCAACTCCTCCTTGGTGGGAAATGCTTCGGGCTTATCGGAACTCTGCATAAACTCAAGAATCTCGGATTCAAGAGAGGAAAACTCTCCGTCCCAATCCTTACACCGCCGCAAGAACTCAGTGCAGGACCAGCACAAACCCTTGTAGCAGGTCCCCCTCCAAGAAGAATGGAGAACCGAACCAGGTTCGACCCCAAACCGGCGTGCCCGCCTGGTCGAGCCGGGGAAGTAGAGCGGGGGGACGAGGGACGGGATCAGGAGAGGCGAGAGCAGCGAAAGGGAGGGTGCGGTGAGGAAGTGCATGCTTGGAGCATTTCGTCGAACAGTTAGTAGGCAATAGAGAGAATAAGTGTGGAGCGCGCGAGAAGAAAATGGAAGAAACAAAAAAGAGGGTGTACTGAAGAGTGAGTCGGCGAAGGAAGCAACGAACAATGCCTCGTATTAGAAAGTAAAAAGAAGATACTACTTTTTCGTTAGTACTGTCGTTATTTGGATTATTTTTTACTGGATTCTTTTGTCTTTAATATATTGATTTGTATTAGTTTTGATATTTTACTATATGTTAATTTTTTTTAATATATCAAAGTAGTATATTTTAAAGGTACAACTGTATTAAAATATTCAATAGAAAATTGAACTAAAAAATATATCTATTTTTTTATTTTAAAGTTGTTAATAATAATCCAAATTCAGTATTATCAATTAAATAAGAAAAAATGTTTTCTTTTAAACTTATCAATATGTAGAATGCAGTGAAGATGTTAATTATTCTTAATTTTCTAAAAAAATTATACCCTTTAATTTCATACTTTGTTTTAGTTTTTTGTTTTTTTAAAGTTTAAACAATAAGTAAAATTTTACAATAAACATTTTTTAATTAAAATAATTTATTTAAAAAAAGTTTAAACAAACTAACTTCACAAAAATAGCAAAACTGAATTATCTGCGCCGAAAACGTGTTTGTTCAACATTAACAAAAATTAATGTCTTATTTAGAAGGAGATAATCACTTATTTACAATAAATATCTTTTAATTATTTATTATTAAGTCTTTTAGTAAATTATCTGAAATATGTTTCATTAAAAATATTGTTTCGGCTCATAATTTTCAAGAAGTAGATCCAGCTCTAATAATTTCAAATAAATTAATGCATTAAGATACAAGAGTTTCTTATTCCATACCAACGAAAACATTTTTTAACTCTTTCATATATTAGGAGATTTCACTAAAAAATGTCAAATACTAATGAATTCGAGTTTACAACAATAAACCCAAATACACCAACTAGAAACATATTTGAGAATTCTTGTCTAACAAAAAAAAATTAAAAATTATATATGAGAAAATCTTTTTCATTTAAAACAAAAAAGCAAAAATACACCAACTAGATCATAATTTGATTCATTTCTATTATTATCAACTTATTTCCTTCTATTTATAAGAATTAAAAACACTTTTCTATCATTGACGTGGTTCATGATCTTAAGCTCACCCCACTTAAAGATTAAATCCCCAACTAAACATCATCTTTCGTTTAAATCTTATTAAGTAAAAACAAACCTTTTATTTTAATTGAACGAGGAAAACCGACACGTGTATCTTGTTAATATTTATTTCCTTATTTTAAATTATTAAGTTATGAATATCGTACTGGAAGATATTAACTAAATAGTTAAATTTGATGCATAATTAAAAAAATATCTATAATATATATATATATTATTGATATTCTGTGAGAACCTAAAAATTTTAGATTAAAAGAGTAGATTAATGTATTAGACTAATAGAACCAGATTTTCATAATATAAATAGAATTTTTTTCAACAATCTGGTTCATTAGTCTACTCCCATTATTTCTCTAAAATCTCAAGTTTTTCCAGTTCTCTGTCCTCTCTTTACCATTTCTCTTCTCTAAGCCATTTGATTTTCAATCAGGTGGTGCTCAAGCATGCACAACGTAGAGGACTCCGTCTTTGACCGATCCATTTTTTCATTCTGACCGGTAACCTGTTTTTCCTTTTCCTCACTGTTTTCAACCTAGCACATGCAACCTTTGTTGGTTGCATGCGTCTTGTGTTTTATCTTTTCTGTTCTCTGCTAATTTTTTTTAGCTTTAAGAGCTGTTTTCTATCACCAATGTGGTGGTTTGTAGGGTTTTGTGAGTTCTTGCCGTGTAAGGTGCTGTTGAGGAGTTCCTGTGAGTGGGTTGTGATTTTGAGGTAAGGAGAGTTAGAATACTTCTTTATAATTAGTTGTATGTATGTGTATATACTGAGTTTTTATATTGCTATGTTGTTGGTATTGTGTTTTGGTTTGGGAAGATTTAGTTGCATGTGTTGGACTGTATGACTATGGAATTGGAGTGTGATGGTTGTAAACTATTTTGGATATATCTAATTGTTGTAATTAATCATGTTGAAGTGCTTGGGGTGAGGAATCTGTTGTAACATTGATTAGGTAGAAACTTAGTATTCTAGTAGGGTTTTAGGTCATTTTGAGAGGAAGTGAGGTAGTGATTTTGGGCATTGGAGGTCTAGAGTGATTTTGGGTTGTTGGGGCCTACTTAACCAATGTATTGTGACTTGTTTGAGTCACCAAAGTGGTCCAAATAGGTGCAAAGTATCAAAATTGGGTTGGGGTTCCCCAAGTTGTAGAAATTGTTGTTGATGCGTAAAAGTTGGGTTGGAATCACTTTAGAATTGTAGTATGAAGGTTTAGGAACATCCAGACAAGTTTAATCAAGTGTAAAATAGGAATTAGAGGTATTAGAAATTAGAGAAAAGACCTAGAAATGGTAAGGGGGTGTGTGAGTCCATAATTCTACAGAATTTGCGTTATGCAGATGATGCAGAGTCGCTATGCGAATTGTCTCGCATAACGAGTCCCTGTGGAAAGTGCTCACTGTCTGGGTCATTCGTTGTGCTAGCTAGTGCGTTGTGCGACTGACCAGAGGGTGCTGCTCTTTGCCTTGTGATTCGCATAGCGAATCCTATCGTTATGCGACTGGTGGTGACCTGGAGCCACTGTCATTTTAATTAGAAAGACGAGTTGGGCGCAAAGCGAAAAGGTTTGGGGGTGTGCTCTCTGTTTGAGCTCTCGCATAACGACCTGGGTGCGCTATGCGAGAGACCTGAGGCATGTAGCCTTAGCAAGTTAATTCGCATAGCGAATTGAGGTGCGCTGTGCGAGACTCTGCTGTCTCGCCTTGCGTGTAGGATGCGCTCTGCGAATCCTCTGAGTTCAGATTTCTCTTTTGCTCTTGCTTTGGTTGAATTAAGTGTGTGGAATGATTGGAATGCATAGTATGATGGTGGTAATGTTATTACATTGAAAGTATGTGAATATATGCGACATGTTTGGTGGTTGAATGTAACAAAGTGTGGTTATTGGACATAATTCCATGAACCTCAAGGAGAGGATCCATGGTGGTGCCCTTGGTGGGTTTTAGAATGATTTGCATGGAAGCTCAGTGTTGGAGGTTATCCTGAAACTACAATGGTCGATCATTCTCAAGTAGAGAGGATTGAACCATGTCGTGAGTAGTAGCAGGAGGTCTTAGTCTTGGAGGCTTCCAGTATGCTCCAATGCGCGGTACAGACTAACCTCGTGAGTGTGGTAGGATGAAACCCATTGGCAACGACTTTGCATAGCAGTAGAAGCCACCATGAGTGCATGACCCACCATAGCTCGGCAATCATTCTAAGTCCGGACGAGTCAAGTTTAAAGTGTAACAAGTTATGTTAAGTGACCCAGGATATGTGAATTAAACTTGCATGTTGTGTGTGATTGTTATAACATGATTTTTGTATATCTAGCTCACCTTTTTGCTTGTGTTTGTCTTTTGTTTATGTTGTGTTTTCTGTTGCAATGATAATCTATTTGAATGTGAGCAGAGGTAGATGAAGTGCTTCTGGAGCAGGCCTTGGAGGGAGATGACATTGCTGCTTAGCCTAGTTAGGATTCATAGGCGTTTTGTGTATTTGGAAATACTCTTCTGTGTTAAAAGTTTTAAATTATAGTCATTTTTGGATTACTGTAACCTTAAGACTTTATCTGCAAGTCTTTTTCTAATTGTTCTATTATATTAAAATGTGGACTACTATATTGTATAATTTTATATAATCTGGGATGTTACATTGTAGAGTATAAAAGATATAAAATTAGTATATGTTTTTAATTTTATATTTTGAATTCGTATAATTATTAAGATTTATAAGTCAATGTAATATTTCTATTTAACTAAAAATTCATCTCATATTAAACAATAAAAAATAGTTAACTCAAACAAATATATATGTTATAATAAAATATTAAAATATACTAAGAGTTATATTATATTGAAACCAAAAACTTAATAAAGCTTTTATAAAGAACTTATAAAACTAAACATATTATCTTAGTCTTTTGCATCCTCCTCATTAAACACCTAATTAATAGATACATATTTTTCTATTCACCGTTAAGACGATCATTACAAAAGAAAAGACAAATACACAAACATGTAAAGACAAAAGAGAAAACTAATTTATTAAAAAGAGAAAATCATGCAATAAAAACAAATATATTAACACATACAATTTATATAAATAAATTTTAAGTCATAAATCATTTATTCTAGACTTTACCATCCGGATACATGTATTAATGTCAAACTCTGGGAATTTTTCACTTGTGGTGGTGGAACAGCTTGTCCACCCAAGCTACTACACACAAGGTTAGTCTATCAACCATCTATGGCCAAGGTGAAGCTCTTAGACTAAGACCTCATGCCCCTCTCATCACATAGTCCACTCTTCTCTACTTGAGATTGGATGATTATTAGAGCGTCGGGTTAAATCCCAATACAAAATCTTTACATCAATATATACACTATTTGAAACCATTACAAGAACTTATCCTTGAAATTTTCCTCACTACATACTCCATACATACTCAAACCATGTTTACCATGAAGCATAAAAAAAATTAAAATAAGCATGCATTAAATTCATATAAACCACTTCAAAACAATTTAGAATCAGAAATCCATAGAAAACAACACTGGCCTTGCAATAGGGAGCGCTCAGGGCCAAAGCTCTCATATTTTCTCTCGTTTAGCGAATTAACATGAATTTAGTTCCTGCAGTGGTAACTAGCACTGAACAGTGCCCAGTTCGTCAAACCATTCGCATTTAGGTCGCTCAACGGTGAAAGCTGACATCCAGAAACTTGTAGTGGTATAACTTTGTTCTTATGAACTAAAGGCTTATTCAAATGACCAAATTGGTATTTCTGACTTAGTGCTTGGTCCAAAAACATGTTTCAAGGCCAAATTGAATACCAACTTGCTCAAATGATTATAGACTTAGTTTATCAAGTCAACACCAAACCAATCAATTTAATCTACATACAATCATTTTGAACCAACAGATTTCAACACACACTTTTAATTAATTCCAGA